AAATAAATAAATAAAATCTTTAAAAATAAATAAATAAATAAATAAATAAATAAAAATAAAAAGGGGCAAAACCTAGGGATGCCTGGGTGGCTCAGTCAGTGAAGCGTCTGCCTTCAGCTCAGGTCACGATCCCAGAGTCCTGGGATAGAGCCCCGCGTTGGGCTTCCTGCTCAGCAGGGAGTCTGTTTCTCCCTCTCCCCACCTCCCCCGCTCATGCTCTTTCTCCCTCCCTTCCTCTCTTGATCTCTCTCTCAAATAAATAAGATCTTTTTAAAAAAAAATCCAAAGGCATGCAAACAACAGTCTTACACTAACTACAGTGCAGTCTTAGATCCAGAGCTGATTCAGGAAGCTTCTGTCCACCCAGCTGCAGGCACCACAAGAAAACAGTACCTGGGAGAATGAAAATGTAGTCCCAAAGGCCCACAAGCTATACCCAGCCATCTGCAAGTGGACATGCCCCTCTGGGAAGCTCTTCAAAAACACAGTTCAGGGGTGTCCCCGTTTCATTTTGCTATTCACTTGCTCTCAAAAGCATCTCAAACCACAACAACACAGCTCCTTCTGGAAAGTAAATAAAGGCTCAGGGTTGTGTGATGAGGACATGTTCCCAACTGTGGAATCTCATGACTGCCCCACAAAGCTCAACAGTCCCGTAAGACAGCCTAATACTCATTAAAGAAAGTCCTCAAAGAAACTGAACACCCCAGCTTCTCTTCTGCAACACAGTCACCAGACGGCAAGACCCCAACAACTCTCACATTAATGAGACAAGAGCTGGGGGCAACCTCACAGCCCCCATCACGCTCTAATCTCTTGTCTGGATCACTGCCCAGGGGACCTGTCTTACTTTCTCCAACACAGTACACTATCACCTGGGTGCACAGTTCAACATGGAGAAGCCACAGATGTAGGGTATAAAACAGGCAGGGAGGGTCAGAATAAATGCTCAACCTTGCTTAGTGCAGGACGGTGAGTTCCTTCTTTATACTTTCATTTATTTCCCAAGTATTTCTTGCCATAGGCATGAAATACACTATAATTAGGAAAAACAGCAAAGCTATTTTAAATCAAAGACTGCTGCTTAAGTTTCAGGATATTGTAGTTTTTTATTCCCAAATAAGCCCTTAACAAAAGGCTATCTGTTCCAGATCATGGGCTTCGAAATGCCTCAAGGGCTCATGGGTGCCTGCACTGAAGTTTACTTATTTCTGGGACATGCTAAAATGTCATCAGGTGATCTCACAACAACTCAGGAGGGGCCGGGAGACAGTGCAGCACTCCCATGCTGGACTTCTCCAGCCCACATGCAAGTTCGTCTAAGTGCACAGGATCAGGTGCTTGGTGTGAGCCGGTAAGAGGCTGCCACCACTGTGTACCAGGGGGACTGAGCACAGGGCTGCGCGAGGTGAGCCGGGGAGGGAACACTCCACCCTTCAGTACTCCAGGCTGTCCTTAGAACAAGCATTTCACTGTCAGCCATGCCAGACCTCGAGGGAACTCTGGAATCTGTCCAGAATGCAGACACAGGAAGACCCGTCTCACCCCTCCTCTCCTGCAGGAGGCAGGCCCTTGGGAGACAGGGGTGACGGCTGCCATTCCCCTCCCCTGTAGGGAGCAAGGGCCTCTCTGAGGACAGACATGTGGGCAGATAACAAAGGCCTCAGCCATAGAGCCTGGTGGGAGACCACGGTTTCCTACAAACATCATCACACAGAAGAAGTCCAGATCGTAACAGTGTGCTGTTTAGGGTCACGGGCAAAGGGGGAGCAAGTCCTCCGCTCCTCTCTAAGTTTACACTCAAGCCTGAGGAGCTCTTCACCCAAGCTCGACACTCCGGAGGACAAGCACAGAGCCTGGAGTTGACAGTCGGGCCCACCCTGCTCAGGGTCAGCCGGCAGGGCAGAACTCCCCTTGAAAGCTAAGGAACAATGAAGTCAGGCCACGATGTGAAAGGGACATCCTTCCAGGAAGAAAGTGGGCATGAGTGTTCAGTGAGGTAGTTCCTGGAGAAAGTCAAAGTGTGTCTTGTCCGAACCCCAAGGCCGGGACTGCTCAGGGTCAGGGCCTGCAGAGCACATGCATGAGCACCCGGGTAAACAGATTACAAATTCCCCTCACCAGACCGCTCACCAGGGAACACTGCACGAAGTGCTTCCAGGTGATTTCCTTCCCAGAATCCAGACGTAGAAAAATCCCATGGAAACACCGGCCCCCAAAACAGCCAGACTGCAACAATCCTTGTCAGCCCAAGGGAACTCCCGCTGTGGGAGAAGAGAACACATTTTACAGTTAAATGAGGGTGGTTCCTTCATCAAACAGTGACTTCCTCCTTCAGACATCATGAAGGACATCATCCAAACACTCCCTCCTCACACTCACCATGCCCCCTCTGTGCGCAGTAAAGCCAGAGCCGGTCCTCGGGAGGAAAGGCATCTGCGTGGAATGCGTGAACACCACGAAAGCAGGAGTTCACCAGACCACCCAGGAGAAGCAGAACACCCAGAAAGAGCCAGCATTTCTGCGGTTATCTCTTCTCTGGGGCTTTTATCTATTTGTTTGTTTTATGTTCAGTTAGCCAGTCTATAGTACGTCATTAGTTTTTGATGTAGTGTTCAACAATTCATTATGTGCATATAACACGCAGTGCTCATCACCACACGTACCCTCCCTTAATGCCCATCACCCGGCTACCCAGTCCCCCCACCCCCCTCCCCTCTGTAACTCTCCCTTTGTTTCTCCGAGTCCAGTCTCTCCGGGTTTGTGCCCCTCTCTGATTCTTCCCATTCAGGTTTCCCTCCCTTCCCCTGTGGTCCTCCGCACTATTCCTTATGTTCCACATATGAGTGAAACCGTATGGTAATATCTGGGTCTTTTAAAATTCAGATGGAGGGGCACCTGGGGTCTCAATCAGTTAAGCGTCTGCCTTCGGCTCAGGTCATAATCCCGGGGTCCTGGGATCAGGCCCCGCATCGGGCTCCCTGCTCAGTGGGGAGCCTCCTTCTCCCTCTCCCCCTGCCTGCCGCTCTGCCTACTTGTGCTCTCTGTCAAATAAATTAATTAATTTAATTTAATTAAATCTTAAAAAAAAAAAAAAAGAATCTCTGTGTCAGCTTGCTCCAGAACAAGCGGGAGGACACAAAGCCTGAGCATGACAGTGCTTCCTTGGAGAAGGGACAGGCTGTCTAGGTGTAGTCCTCAGATGCCCACAAACCTTCTGCATCCGTCTCCACCAGGCAAAGTCACTCTGCTTTCCTCCTCTCTTGCCTCTATCTGCTCCAGGCCCAGCATCCTTCGGCTCACTGGTTCCTAAGAGAAAACAAAGTCTGACCTCAGAAAACAGTAATTACAACCTCCCAGAGAAAGAGGATTCAGAGAAGAGAAAAATGCCTCCCAACATACACTTTTTCTAATACTGGTGCCTTCTGGAGGGAAACAGGGAGCAGGAAAGGAAGAGGCTGGGCAGAGCTAAAACATAACAGCAGCTCGTCCTGAAAGGTAGGAGAAAAGCCTGCTGTGCCCGTCTCAGGTCAGGGTGCAGGTTAGAGTGGTAGAAGCTGCCAGACCAGACCAACCCCAGACATTCCTTAAAACAATTTCTTAAAATCACCACAAAATCACCAGCGATTGGTACATACATGCCAGGCAGGACCCAGGGGGCATTACTTCTACAAAACTGGCCCTTTGTACACTCTTGCTTCTGATGCCCCCAAATGCTCTGCCCTGCATAACTCACCTTCCTAGGGAAAACAACAGATACCACTGAGAAGTAGCTTCAGATACATGTAAAATTCTTCAAATTTCACCTTGCTGGCTCCAAACCTGAGCCCACTAGCAAATCTTTCTTTCCTCTCAGGTAATAATCACCTTTCCATGCCCGTAAATGGGGCAAAGGAAGGAAGAAAGCAATGAGACAGGCTGACACAGGTGGACCACCTACAGAGGTCCGCTTCTCAAAAAAACCAGAATGCATGTCACCTGCTCTCGGACACAATCCCCTCCCATTCTCCTCAGAACGCTGTGACCCAGAGTCTGGATGACTGAATCCAGCCCTGTAAGCCTCCTCCTGCAACACACACAGTTCAGATGACACACATCCAGCACTGTAAGCACTCTTGAAGGCCCCCACCTCACCCTTCTGTCGGGTGCAAAGTATGTTTTGGGGGAGATGGGTCTGATTCGGGACATGCCCACCTAGGGTCGAATGCCCCCATTTTCTCCAAGTACAATCTAAGGATCAGGAGGCTTGAACAGTCCTAGAAAGCTGCACACATCCAAAGAAAAACTCTCCCCTCCCCATGTAACTGTATCAGTACATTTCCGGTTAAAATTTCCAAGAGGTGCTTTTACACACACGGTTTGACCTATGTGAAATTCAATTTGTAAGAAGTATACATTTGGCCCTCCTGGTCCAGAGCTCCAACAACACTTGGAATTTCCTAGGTGGTAAAGGGATCTTTCGTTACTCATATCAAGCCTCTTTCAACCACACTTGAGTCTGTGTTAATGACGTGACTTTTGGAAAACCCCTAAGAATGGAAGCTGGGGGCGCCTGGGTGGCTCAGTTGGTTAAGCGACTGCCTTTGGCTCAGGTCATGATCCTGGAGTCCCTGGATCGAGTCCCACATTGGGATCCCTGCTCAGCGAGGAGCCTGCTTCTCCCTCTGACCCTCCCCCCTCTCATGTGCTCTCTCTCTCAAATAAATAAATAAAATCTTTAAAAAAAAAGAATGGAAGCTGGTTGCCAAGAGAACCAACCACGGGATTAGAGGGTTAGAATTTTCATCCCCACCCCTAACCTCCAGGGAGGGGAGGGGGCTGGAGCCGAAATTAACCACCAATGGTCAATGATTTAATAAATCATGCCTGCGCAATGAAGCCTCCATATAAACCCAAAAGATCAGACTTTGGAGAGCTTCTAGGCTGGTGGACAAGAACGCACCCATGTTCTATGCCAAACTTCAAGGGGACAGACAGTCCTATACTGGGGACCCTTCCAGACCTCACCCTTCACATTTCTTCATCCAGCTGTTCATTCATATCCTTTAACATCCTTTATAATAAACTGGTAATCTAGTAAGTACACTGGTTTCCTGAGTTCCGCAAGCCGCTCTAGCAAATTAATGGAACCCAAGGAGAGGGGGTCGTGGGAACCTCTGATTCACAGCCAGTCAGTCAGAAACACACGTGACAACCTGGACGTGGAACCAGCATCTGATGGGAGGTGGGGAGGGGGGGCAGTCTTTCAGGACGGAACCCTTAACCTGGGGAATCTGATGCTAATTCCAGGTATAGAGTGTCAGAACTGGGTTAAACCGGAGGACACCCAGCTGGTGTCCCAGAATTGCATGGTGGGGAAACACCCCCCCAACCCACAACACATATACAAGTTTGTGACCAGACTCAATGCACAGGCACACAAAATTCATTTTTCCATAAGAACCTGGGAAAGTAACCCAAACTTAGGGAAAAAATAGTTCCCCTGGGGCGCCCGGGTGACTCAGTCGTTAAGCGTCTGCCTTCAGCTCAGGTCATGGTCCCCGGGTCCTGGGATCGAGCCCCGCATCGGGCTCCCTGCTCAGCGGGAAGCCTGCTTCTCCCTCTCCCACTCCCCCTGCTTGTGTTCTC